TAGCGTGCATTCTAAATTCTAACAATAGCAGTGCATCGAAGCAGAAAAACCATCAAACAAAAACTGTGAAGTATCGTTACAAAATTATTTTGACTTGTAAGTACTACCTATATATTCGTTATTTGAAAATGATCGTGGATGGAGGTATCGCGCATGCGTACCCAAATTCTCACAACTCGAAATGTTGAAGGTGAGTTTTCTTTCCTTGAAGCTTCGTATGTAGTTAGTGCTCAATGAAATCCTATTTTTATTATATTCTAAGYGTACTTTTTATTACTGAACAGATGACAGGACACGTGTTTTTCTACGGAGTGTCTAAACGTCAGGCAGTCGACTTTTGTGAAAAATCGTTTGAAAAACTGTAATGTCAATTAATACAGAAAGGGAAATGCAATAAAGGCCGAAATAATACTGTTCGACAAGTTTGTATAGTCACAAGTACGGCACACAAGAGAAATGGAATAAAGACCGAAATAAGGTGGAAATTGAAAATGGGACTATGAACTAACTATGAGACTAATATTTGTTATTGCACTGTCCAGCTATAAAGAGGGTGTCAATGGGTTAGCACTTTTAGACTTTTGTCTTAAAAATTAGTAGTTAACTGACTAATGAAAATCGTATATTTAACTGACTTTCCTAGTAACATTAAATTCAGGCGCGTAGAGTCCTTTACGCATATACGCACGTGCGTACTAGTGGGAAGGAAATATTAATATTTTCGGGATTTGATGCATTTTATATGCTCTCGATGCCCCTCAAAACGCTAAAAACGCATTTCCAATAGTTATCATTTCAAAATTTCCTAGGGGAGGACCCCCCGATCCCCCTTGATACTTCCGCCTTCGGAGGTCGTTAGCCCCACAATCCAAAATATGTGTCGCGGTACCGGCCAAATGGGAGTATTAGCCAAAACGTCCACGCTACGCACCTGTAATTGCGTCTTTTAAAAATCTACTGTCAAACAGTTTTTTGGGGTCTTTTAACTGATCACTGTTTGAGTAGTGAAGCTCCGATGCACATTTCACGTTTCACGAGCACCCAGGCTATCCTCACCGAATTGAACTTGTTGACCAGACAATGGCTGGCTTTGTCAAGGTCGTCGTTGGTTTCTATCAAGAAAGCCGCCTTTGGATAAAGTATCTGAGTCAAACAATGGTTCTTTTACTAAGTCGTTTCATCCAGTGATAACTCAAAGTACTTTTGAATTTTTTTTGTGAACAATGATACTGATGGAGAGTCAATAAAAGTACAAAAATATATTAAGATCTAGCCTCCTCCACAGGCAACTCTTTTTTCCTCCTTTGGGCTTCCTTTGTAACGGTCATTTTGGCCGTTAGGGACTAGTGACGAGATAGCAAAAATAAAAAGAGGAGGAGTTGCCGGCCGAATCTCGACGTGTGTTGACCGCGCTCTTCACCTTGTGGACTTTGTTCTGGACCGGGGGTACCCTGGGGAATTTTTGACACACAAAACGTTACATATCTAGCCCCCCTAAGAAGTTGTTTTATCGCACGTTCAGACTGAGAAACTAATTGTAGGCAAATAGAAATATCTAAAAGTTCCCTGCCACAAAGCAATTCGAACATCTAAGCCATGTAAATAAATGGTTTTGATAATCTGAAGAAAAGGAGGCAGAGCAGGAAGAAGACTTGTATAAATGAG